CGCGCAGCAGCCTTCGCAGCCGTCTGCTTCCCCGGAGGAGCCGTCGGGGGCCGCGTCGTCAGTGGGCAGCAGCCGCCTGCCGCTCAGTGCCTCTCTTGCCTTCTCCGACCTCACCGAGGAGATGCTGGACTGCGGGCCCAGCAGCTTCGTGCGGGAACTGGAGGAGCTGCGCTCTGAGAACGACTATCTCAAGGTGGGGGCGCCGAGGGGGCAAGTGGGGCACGGGTTGTCATGGCCCCTTGGGCCTGAAGCACCAGCCAGCCACTTCCTTTCTGAACAAGCTGGGGAGAAGTCCCCAGACTCACTGGAGACCGCCCTGAGGTCTATCTAAGGCCCTCTCTCCCCTCTTGCCACTTTATTTGGGAAGCCTTCTACTGAAGATGGACTTGGATAGGACACTTCAGTGGGCCCTGATTTGGGGAGTGGGGATTTGGAGGATGCCTAGATAATGGGGGTGGGTAGGCAATGAGGGGCGATGGAACCCTGCCCCCAGGCCAGTAAGCTGTGGTTGTGGGTTGTGGAGGTTCTCCTTTCTGGGATAAGCATTGGTGAGCAGGCTGCCAGGGAAACCTGTGGCCATCCCCTGCCAGAGAGGCAGGAACACCATTCTGAGCCTTTATGCAGGGCTTCCCCAGCACAGGCTTGTCCCCGCCTGCCTTTCAGGGCGGGTCCAGTTTGAAAGCATGACATCTGGGAACATCCCCTTGGCTAGAATCCACTTCCGCCCAGTCTAACGGTCCTACAGCCCGAGAGGTTGATGTCATGGGAGAACCGGTTCAGAGGCAGCTTTCTAAGTTGCAGAGTATTGACTTCTGCCCTCTCTGCTGCAGGTCTTGAATACACCACTGCCCCACTGGACCCTCTTGATCACTGTCTATGACCTTTCCATGTTCCCAGTGTGAGGAGGAAAGCTGCCTTCCTGAAAGGGGCATTCCCTGAGGACGTGTGGGGGCCTGGGACTTTCCCTGGGGAACAGGCTTTGCCCTGGCCCTTTCAGTGCACCTGAGCACCTCTGGGTGTAGGCCAGCTTCCATTGCCTGTTACTGGCACCAGTGTTAGCTGTAGGGATAGTCCAGCCCTCATGTGTTGCCCTTGTTCTGAAAAGCTGGAATCATAGGCTTTACTGCTACTGGCCAGGCACAGTTTTGGAAGAGACTGAAATGTTGCCTGCGCTTGTCAGTTGATGGCTTGGCACAGCACCCAGAGTGCCCCTGGCTAGGAGCCAGGGAATTAAAAGCACTGTTGATTTATGTCTGCCCACAGCACTTTGCTGTGGTGCTTTTGGCTAAAGGTTTCTCCCTGCTTAGGAGTGTTGGGGTGTTCCTCAGTTGTGACTCTCACATATATTCAAAAAATGTCTGTAGAATAGGGTGGGTCTGTCTGAATAGGATAACCTATCCCTTCAGCCTCAGATCTCTCCTCAGGTCAGACCTCAGTTTCCTCACCTGTTAGGTGGGAAGATGAGTCTTCCCAAAGGATCCCTTCAGTGTTGACAATCAGGGGTTCTGTCAGCCCTTGTAATCTTCCCAAGCCACTGGTGAAAAAAGGGCAAGTGGAGGGTGGACAGGAGAGGAAAGAGGATGAACAGAAAGAGGACTTTTGGGGCCTGCCCTTTGGTTGCTTCCAGCTGCTTTCCGTGCTCTCTGCCTGAGCTGCTCCATCCCCAGATCCTGAACCCCTCAGCCCCACTGCTCACCTTGACATGCTTTGTGCCAGGGTCTCTTCATGCATCCACCCCTGTGGGCTCCTGTCCATCCTAGGAGGTCATCAGGTTAGAACCCCAAATCTGTCTGGGCCACCTGTGGCTGTTGAGAAGGGAAAGTGGTCCTAGGAGTTTGGCAGTTGAGCCCATGGTCTCACATGGTCCAGGGCCCTCCTGGGGACAGGCTGATGCCTGGATTAGGGCTGAGCCTCAGTTTCTACCATCTACTCAGTTGTTCAGGCTTCCTGTGTAAGTCTCAGACCACTATTGGAGCTGGAATCTGTAGCTTCCCCGACTGATCTTGGGCAAGTTACTTAATGTCTCTGGACCAGTTTTCTCATGTGTAAAAGTGAAGATCACACACATTTCACTCATAAGGATTAAATGAGATAATGTGTACAAACACCACTAGAGTACCTGGCATGCAGTAAACTTCAGATGGCAGTAACTGAGATTACTGCTGTTCTCAAGAGATACAGGGAGCACTTATCACATGTATTCTGTGGGTGTGTAGAGTTGATCCTCCTCCCCACCTGACACAGGCTGAGCTCCTCCTCCTAGCCTCTGGTTCATTCATTTATTCACTATTTATAGAGAGCCTTCTGGGTACTAGTGCAGCTCTTGGGGTACAACTGTGAGCAAGGCTAATCTGTCTGTTTTCAAGGAACCTTGAGGAGACCAGGGTTAAACAGTGGCCACAGGATAAAGCACAGTAGGGATCGTGATAAGGATGAAGAAGGGTACATGAAGGTAGAGCCAGGGCTCAGGGAGGCCAAGAACTGGGATGACGTGGAGCCAGCTGATAGGGAGGTGCAGTAAGAACATTCCAGGTGAAGGGAAGCTGGAAGAAGTTCCTTGAGTTCGAGAAAGGTGTTCAGGCCAGAGAAGGGAAGGAGATTGGTGAGAGAGGCGAGCAGGGGCCAACCATGCTCATTCTTTGAGAAGGGTACTTTTTTTTTTTTTTTTTTTTCAGTACTGGGGTTGAACTCAGGACCTTGCGCTTATGAGGCAGGCATGGCATCACTGAGCTAAATCCCTGGCCCAACTGGGCTCATTCTTGCTGTGAGCAAGAGCCAGTCCTTTGACTCCTCTTGAGTTTTGTTTACCCTGCTGCCAACCTCACAGAAGCAGAGTGAAGTCTGAACATGGCCCATAAGTGAAGGTCTTGGCCAGGGGGCATGGTTTTATTCATCCTGCAGATAGTAAACTGAGGCCAGAGCAGGGAAGGGACTTGCAGGGAAGGGAGTCTATGGATGGCCCTGTTTAAATTCATCTCCCAGCTTGGTACGAAGGGACGCTGAAGACTCTCAACCAGGACGGACTCTCCAGTGGCTGTGGATCTCCCGGATCTCCCATCTTGTGAGGCCCCGCCCTGAGGTCCAAGTGAGGATAGTGTAAATGGGACAATTCTCTCCCAGTGAAAAGACAGAAGGAGCTTCTACAGAGATGCTAGTGAGCTGGCTTTCATTATTCAGAGGCTGGATGACCTTGGATGTTTTGATGCAGATATAGGGTTTGTGGAAAGCAGCTTGTAAACAGTCCAGAATGTTGGTGGTTATGATTTCCCGAGGAATGTTTGGGGGAGATTTATGTGGTGGCTACAGATGAGCTGCCTGGCTTTGGGTCCCTGCTAGCCAAGAAAGTCTGAAGGTTGTTTTTTTTTTTTTTTTGGTACCAGGGATCAAACTCGGGTCCTTGTGCTTGCAAGGCACGTAGCAGGAAAGTCTGAAGGCTCTTGACTGTTGAAACTGTACATCTAGAGATGCAGCTTTATCTGCAGAGGAAGTACATCGACTGGGTTTGACTGTGCAAGCCCAGGTTGTGTGAAGTGCCCCATGACCACTAAAAGTTACCTGTCTACCATGTAGTGACTACTAGGCTAGGAACTCTCTGGTGGGATGGAAGAATCAGAGAGCTGGAACCCAAACCCCTAGCTTTGAGACCTGACTGTGCCATTTGCTGTGTGGCTATAGGTAAGTCACTTAGCCTCTATTGAGTTGCTTTTTTTCTGATCTTTATGCTTGCCTGGACAACCTCAAAGGATTGTTTTCAGCAATCAGGGAGGCATGAATAGACAAAACATTTTGCAAGCAGTGAAATCCTGCATCTCATGGATGAATCTTTATTACTTTTAGCCAATGAGCAGACAGGATGTCTGCCTGCATATTCATTCTTGGAGGATCTAGAGAAGCCAGGAGGATGGATTTCCTTAGCTTGAAAATATTAATAAATTAGGAGCTGCTCCAGGGACAACAGGAAGGCGTGATTGCATTCCCTGCTGTGTGTATGGCCCCTGGGAAACACCACCCCCCATTCTTCACATGTGTTTGAGGTGCTGGCAGCTAGATGTCTAATGAGAATGGCCCAGAGGAAGCACTATTGATCACACTTGCCATTGTACAGATGTGTAAATGGAGGCTCCAGGTCACACAGCCAAGATTCCAACCCCAGTTGGTCTAACTCAGGACCCTGTTCTTTCTGTAGTGTGACCAGTGCAGTGACATTCCGGTTGCTAAGTGTGTCTAGTCTGGGATATAGGTTGATGAGAGGACTCCTGTTGGGGGGTCAGGCTCTAGACTAAGATCTGTAGGGAACAAGGGGTGCATAAGACAGGATGAGGGCCCAAAGCCTGCAGGTAGGGGAAGGGGATGTGTGCTCATGTCCCCATATGAGCAATTGTGTCTTCTGCAGGATGAGCATACCTGCTCAGTGGTGAGGAAATATTAGTGTCCATCCTGGTCATCACCTTTCTCTAACCTGTTGCGCGTTCATTCATTCATTTTCCGAGTACTTCCCAGGTGCCAGGCTACCCAATAAGCACTGAATGTAGCTCTTCTGTTGCATGGGGGTGGGAAGCTCCATTGTGTCACTGGATGGGGAGAAGGCTGGTTCCTGCCCAGAGTCCCAGCCTCCCTATGGGACTGAGAGGTAGCCTGGAGGAGGCTGCTCCAAATCCTGGGACTCTTAAGGATCCTCAGCTGCTTGCCTATCACAGGGGGAGGGGAGAGCCCCTGCTAGATGGAAATGTGAGGCATTGGCTGTGTGGCCCGAGTGGATGAGGAGCTCCTAGGACTGCTAGAATTCCTTGCCGAGGAGCTGGGTACACACTGCCTTGCCCACACAAATACACATATGCATTCACAGCTCCAGCTCAGAAACCTCAGCCACTCAGTCTCACAGACTCATCCAGAGAAATGATGTTGGAGGCTTCAAAAATCATCATGGCACGTTGGGGAGGATCCGCACTGAGAGACCTACATAAATCTGTGTTCACGTGCCACTTCCTGCTGCCCACACCCTCATGTTACCAGATGGACACACACCCACCCACACCATCAGGGAGCCCCAGGCTTAGAAACAGCCTCATCCATGCATCTCACACCCCTAGGCACACTCAAATGTCCCAGAGATGGACATGCAGCCTGGAGATGCCATCAGATGTGTTGGAAGCACTCATACATACTTGAGCACACACACAGACCCACACAGAT